TTTCCGTATTGATCATGTCTCATGGAGTAATTTAACTCTATTCCAATTTCCCTTTGCTGGCGGGGTGCTTTCCCTCTATGGAAGTGAGTTATGTGTGTTCAAGTGGTGCATCTTATGAATCTTGTTAAGCTTTGCTGCCTTATAGCCCCACTGATGGAATATTTAATCACAGAAATGAGTTGGCAGATATGATATACAATGTGGGTGAGCTTTGCAGTGTGTATCTTACTGGCAATTGAGAAACAGATAAATTTACATTTGTCAGCACCATGCTGACAACCCTGTATAACCTTCTGTTATTTATTTTGATTTTGCTTTACTTATTTATGAAGATTAAAGGTGCTTTAAATCAACAGTTTCATTGGCTAGATAATGTGATTATCTCTAAAAGATACTACTTTTTAAATATATATATATATATATATATATTGGAAGACAAGGGGAATTATCAAAATGTAAGAATCCCTTCTGAGGCCTGTTCTTCCAGACTCTTAGAAACACTAGTTTTAATTACATTAAATAACATGAGGCCTGCTACTAGTATGAATAATCTCAGAGAGTCTACTTCTCCTTACTGACTTCAATTTTACTTGAACTCTAAAGTAGAAGGGCTACAGACACTGGCCAAAGGCTTCATGACTCACCTGGACTTGTGTGTGGTGACTTAAAATTACTTGTCTTCAATAAGCATCAAGGACTGTGGAGATGATTAGACTTAGGAGAAATTATCAGTGCTATTGTAGCTTTATAGAAAACCACCCATCTCTGCTGGGAGAAGGTTTACTTAATATATGGCATGGGATGTGCTGATATATGTGTATCTGCTCTGAAGACTGGTATGGAAAAACATTTAAAAGGCTTTTCATAAGTATGACTTGATGAGAATTCAGAAAAAAAAATGTTTTATAAGAGCTTTCTCAATGCTTCCTCTGGAATGCATGTGTGAGGGAAAAGGAGTGTCACAATTTATCAAAGCAAATAGTAATTAAAGGTCCTCACTAAGAAGTGCAATGGCTCTTCCTGCCCCCGCCCTGAGTTTGCAGTAAAAACATACTCAGGGCATCAAAAGGCTATATACAAAAATCACTAACTTGTCTCTTTTTTTTTTTTTTTTTTGAGACAGACTTTTGCTCTTGTCACCCAGGCTGGGCTGCAATTGACCGATCTCTACTCACTGCAAACTCCGCCTCCTGTGTTCTAGCGATTCCCATGCCTCAGCCTCCTGAGTAGCTGGGATTACAGGTGCGTACCACCATGCCCGGCTAATTCTTTTAGTAGAAATGGGGTTTTAACATGTTGGCCAGGCTGATCTCAAACTCCTGAGACCACCCACTAAGCCTCCCAAAGTGCTGGGATTACAGGCATGAGCCACTGTGCCTGGCCAATAACTTGCCATTTTATAATTGAGAAAATAAATAGTAAGGAAAAGTCTACTAAATTAGGAAAATTACCTTTAGAAGAGATAGAAAATATTGATTTTAATTTAAAAAAAACAGGTGAACTTTTCATGCCCCATTCTGGGAGACAATTGGAGACTGGGTTGTTAATTCTGCATAAGCTTCATTATGTATCATAATGATACTATGGGGATATTATAAAATATGCCATTAACACACAGCCTTATCTAGAGAAAGGACTAATAAGTCCTACTTTCTATCTTAAGCAGATACAGAGCCAGCCAACTAAAAATACAAAGCAAATCAATGACAAGGTCTTCATTTCAGCTTTGAGGCATACTCAGAATTGCCAGATAAATTCAGACTATTTTTATAGCTGGGGAAATTCAAAATGCCCCATAAATTCTTAGCCATGGAAATGTAGATGCATGACAGTAATAATTATACCTGCATATGGAAATGAAAGCACTCTGCACCTATTGCTATGCATAGGTCTTATTCCACAGATGCAGGTGCCTGAAACTTCAGATTTAAGCCAGCTACGTTTGGTGTTTGCAGGTCTTCAACTATGTCATCGGAATTGCTCTGCAGAGTTAAAACTGCTGCAACATTTCCCCACATTTCTGAGTATGATGAGCTCCATGTACATACAACATGTGGATTTTCCAGAGAATCCAGACAGTGGCAGCATGAAACACAAATACTCAGATTTCTGAGGTAAGACTTGCGAATACGGTTGTGGTGGTGGCAGCTGGAGCAATACAGAAGGAGTATGTTACCTCTCTACCTTCATTTCACTGGTTTGCACACAGCAGTAGCACGATCACAGGAGACAGTCAATAAGAATCATGACCTTTAATATTTAGTAAAACAATAAACAGGTTGGGTGCATCACCTGAGATCAGGAGTTCCAGACCAGCTTGGCCAATATGGTGAAACCCTGTCTACAGTAAAAAATACAAAAATTAGCCAGGCATGGTGGTGGGTGCCTGTAATCCCAGCTACTGCAGAGGCTGAGGCACAAGAATCACTTGAGCCCAGGAGTGGGGAGGCAGAGGTTGCAGTGAGCTAAGATCACGCCACTGCACTCCAGCTTGGGTAACATGAGTGAAACTCCAACTCAAAAAAAAAAAAAAAATGTATCAACTGGTTGTAAATAACACAAGTTCTGAGATGATCAGAGCCTGATTTCAAAATCTGGCCTGCTCCTGACCAGCTGTGAAATCTAATATCAGTAATTCCAACTTTTCGTATTATGGTTTCCTCATCTGGAAAATCGCCATGCGGGTGAAATACGTTAAACTTATGTACAGTGCTTAGAACAGTGCCTGGCCCACAGAAAGTATCCAGTAAATATCAACTTACAGCCTTTTCTCTTCTTCTGACCTAATGATCGAACCTCTGAAGCTGGGCCCTAGGCTAATCTGAATAGCTGCTCTAATGTTCTAGAAGTCATGCAGATTAATTTATTCTTATATGCATAAATCAGTTTGAGCTGTTTCTCCTGTCTTAATGTCCTCTTAAAGACCCACAGATATGTTGGTGGCTTTGAAAACATAAGTTAAAGGAGATATTTGGCCTTTTCTGGCTTAATAGACCCAAGGGTGACTGACAACTCCATTCCACAGGACCAGAAACATTTTAATATGCATTTCTCCCTCTCCACCACAATGCACACATCCATACCCTTCCTCCCCACAAGGAAACTTCTGGCTTCTTGTTCTTGAATCTACAATTTTAGGCTGAAAATATGCACCCAGATATGTGCACATAGTCAGAGAAACTGACATTTCTTTAGTCTAACTACTGTATTCATGGGGCAGTGCCTGCTGCAGAGACACGGAAGCTGCAGCCTGACTTTTCAACCATTTGGGGGATTTGATTTCCTTGCAGCTTTGCACAAATACGTATCTCAGCAATACCTGCCAAGCTCTGTGTGTCCCCTGAATAGGCTTCCATGCCCCTGAGCCCAGAAATTAACACCCCATAAATGAACACACTGAGAACTAATGGACTAGTACTCTCATGAAGAAAAGAATCTCTTCGTCTCATAGTATACTCTGAATTCAGTAGAATCAGCTCTCCACTAACTTTCCCTTCCTGCCAAAGAGATTAACATACTCACTTTTATTTACTAAATGTTTACACAATGCTGGCTACATACAACTCTTCCTATATCAACCCATTTAATTCTAATAAACACCTACACATTTGTTACCATCATCTCCATTTAACAGATGAGGAAACTGAGGCACAGAGAGGTTAAGTAACTTGCCCAGAGTCACACTGCTGGTGAGTAGGGGAGGCAGAATTTGATCCTGGGCTGTGTGGGCATGTATTCCGTGTTCCTCACTCAGCCAGAGGTGTCTTCTCAGGAGGTGGGATTCCTAATATGATCATGGAAAGCCTGACAGCTAAGTCTCTTTCCCTATAAGAGTGAACACAGCTATTCTGCAGTGTTAGAATCCTGGGACTTAGCCCAGGCTCCTGGAAAAACTCACACATGAAGAACAACAGCAAACATTGTCTACATAAAATCAAGAAATTGGTTATCCTGTTAAGCTTTTCCAGATTTACCACATTTTTTTTTAACTTAAATTTTATCAGACTGGTTGTTCTACCACAGCAGCTAAGTTTTCTATGTTCCCTTCTCATCTATGAGGGTCAGTGTTTAGGATCAAGAAAATGATGAAAGCTAGGCAGCCCAGGAAGAAACAAAGCAAGGGGTTTCACTTACCGTCAAGAGGTTACTGAGTGAGTGGCTCTAGATCAACGGATTATATATTTTTCCTTATTAAAAAGCAAGAGCCACATCAAAGACTTCTTTTTAATATCCATGTGGCAGATCTACTACTAAGGTCCTAGGTATTCAAGGCAGCCTTGTTCATGAGCAAGGGGACATACAGGCAGTAGTCTGGGCCCAAGCCCAGGACGGCGAGACATGAAATCTCAGCCACTACTGCTTCTGGGTTATGCTCTCCCAAAATTTCTAAGAGAATGGATTTCCCAGTTGAGAGGTAGCTAGTGCTTAGGCAGGGAAGAGGTGAGGAGAGACATATTCTGGAAGGCAAAGTAGAGAGAAATGGAATTGCTAAGGGAGACTGATTAACGAACGAAGACGGACAACTTACTATTTAGGTATCTAAATAGGCTTTCCCTTGGCAATTCCAAATCACTCCCGTATTACTGGAATAATTAAGCCAACTCAATTCTCTGCTTTGCCAGGAAAAAGAAAGTGCAGCCCCAAATGGAAATGTATGGCTAAAACACACATTCAGGCACATTGAAATACAGTGAGCATCCGCAGCTCTCCATTTGTTCAATACACTATTGAACAAAGTCACAATGCTTTTTTAGGGCAAAATCAATGTGAATTGTCCTAAGGAGCAGTGGCTCCATGCTGACCCCCAATCATGAAACTTACACAATTCCCTTGTAATTTTTAAACTGTTTTAAGCACTCTTGATTTTGCCCAAAGAAATCATTCAAAACTTGTTAGGAATTCACTTGCTTCAGGTTATTTTACAAAACCCATTCTTTCTTGGCAGGCAAAGCACATTTAGAACACGCCAATAAGACTTCGTGCAAAGAGAAAGTCTTTACCTGCATAGAATTCGGGACTGTAGACTGCACCCACAACTGGATTCAATTTCCAGCCTTAAAACAAATAGACAAAAACATTATCACATTTGATTGCACAACTTACATAATTGCAAATGAATCACAAATCAAATGGGGTAAAGTATCTTATGTTGTATTTTAAAATGTAAAGGAGATGTCATTTGGGCATGCATAAAACTATTTAAAAACCATACGATGAAAATAGATTCATAATATTTAGAAACCGTAAGTAAGAAAATAGATTAATGCCCTTCCTTGATTTTCTGCCAGTGCATGTTAATGGGATGGAAACCACTGACCAGTCACAAGTGAACACTTTGAAAATGACATGGTAAGTAATTTTCTACTATATCAATATTTTTTAGCACTGTAATTTCAATTTTTTGTCTTATTTCATATATCACTCCTAGATAATCCATCACACCCTTTTGCATTAAGTTCACAAAAATAAGAAAGCTTGCATAAACAAAATTCTTGGCAGCAATAGGCTCTAACAATTGTCATTCCTAATTATAGCTCCTAGATACTAGAGAATTCCAAAGTGCTTTGTGAATACTAAAGAAAATGATATTTTATCCCCTAGAGATTTACTGTGGAATATATTTTAATGCATTCAGGAACTGTAAAAAATTCTTAATCAATGCATGATATCTAAGGTAACTTTCAAATAACCTGTATGTATGATTAATGGAATTCTGTAATTTCCCAAATGTTGTGGATGGAGAGTTTCCTATAAAATGAATCTGGACCCTTTAGAAATCTTAACTCAAAAAAGAGCATACAAGAATATTCACATATTGGAAAGCATATTACATATACATTGGGCATGATTAGGAAAGTTTCCAGAGAATGATCATGTTTTAGGGTTTTGTGATTGTTTCCTGCTTTTGCTGATTAAGTCTTTATAAAAACACCTATGCAGACCAGGTGTGGTGGCTCACTCCTATAATACCAGCACTTTGGGAGGCTGAGGCAGGTGAATCATGAGGTCAGGAGTTCAAGACTAGCCTGGCCAACCTAATGAAACCCCATCTCTACTAAAAATACAAAAAATTAGCTGGGTGTGGTGGCAGGCACCTGTAATCCCAGCTACTTGGGAGGCTGAGGCAGGAGAATTGCTGGAACCCAGGAAGCGGAGGTTGCAGTGAACCAAGATAGCGCCATTGCACTCTAGCCTGGATGGTAGTGAGAGACTCCATCTCAAAACAAAACCAAAATATAAAAACATTCAAGCATGCTGGGTTCAATGGATCATGCCTGTAATCTCACCACTTTGAGAGGCCAAGGCAGGCAGATTACTTGAGTTCAAGACCAGCCTGGCCAACATGGTAAAACCTTGTCTCTACTAAAAATACAAAGTAGTACCAACTATTCCAGAGGATAAGGCATGGGAATCACTTGAACCTGGGAGCCAGAAGTTGCAGTGAACTGAGACCACGCCACTGTACTCCAGCCTGGATGACAGAGACTGTCTCCCCACCAACCCCCAACGAAAACAACCTACACAATCCTTGAAAGACAGGAAAGTAAGGTGTGTACTCTTTTTCTGCGTCCTTGAGCAGAGGGTCAAATACCAAAGATCCTTTAAAAAATGTTTCTGAGAAAAGGCAATGATAAAGGTTTGAATGTGAATGAGGTGTTTTTTTTTTTTATTGTACTTTAAGTTCTGGGGTACATGTGCAGATCTTGCAGGATTGTTGCATAGGTACACAGATGCCATGGTGGTTTGCTGTCTCCATCCCCTGGTTACCTACATCAGGCATTTCTCCCAGCGTTATCCCTCCCAAACTTTTTCTGAGGTTTGCTAAGAAGGGAGAGGTGTGACTTTCTGCCTGGTCTAAGAAGTAGCCCAGAGGTGTTCCTAGTGTCTATTGAGGAAAACAGAGGCTCGGTAACTCAATAGACAGGCCGGTATGTCTACTGAAATCGAGAACTTTCTAAAACTTGATAAGAATGTTTTCTAAGAACTTTCAATTCCAACTTGAATAAGCTGGGTGGTTTACAGCCCACGGGATGATCTTAGAGTAGGGTTTTTCAACGTGTTACACTTCAATTATCTGGGAGGCATATTTAATTTCTGGGCCCCATTTTTAGACAGAAAGAAACATAAAATTCTGAGACCTACTGCCCTAGCAGTTTCTGCAGTTTCATATGGACACTCTCCTCTCTTGGATTAATTACATCTTGCCTTATAAAAATTTCTATACTGATGTAAAAATAAATATTAGTTCAGACATTTCAGAATGTTTTTTGAGTATCGCAAAAGACTTCAATTTGACCAACCGAAATTCCACCGCTTCCTTTAAAAAAAAAAAAAAAGTCCAATTCCTGAGGATATGGGAATTAATGTCTACATTTCAACTTGGAGTTTAGGAAAAGCTATAGAAAACTAGTCAAAAATTAAGTTGCAGACATATTTAATGTTCTGTCTTTCTAGTTTTTCACAAACACCTAGAATTTGTGAAGTCAATCTATGTGAAGTCATATTAAATGAACAATTATTAAGTGATCACTCCTCTTCATCTTCCCACCGTTCCCATCTCATACTCTACTGATGTTCCTACCTCTTATTGGTAGTGGAGATGGTGTCTTTTCCATACCCTTCATCTCACATTTTGTTTCTTGAATATCCTTACTACCTTAAATATTTTGTTTTGCATATAAGACTTCCTTTTCCTTTTCACTGAAGGTATACTTATCAATGAATTTTGGTGTAACTCTTAAAGATTTTATTTTTGCCGATGGCCTCTCATTTTCTACAAACAAAGCAAAAAAGGCCAGATCTCTCAGAGGCATTTGAGGCTGCCTAGAAATCATGTTTATCTCATCGGCCTACCTACCTATCCATCTATTACTCACCTATCTATAAACTTACCCATCATCTGTCTATTCACCTGTAATCTGCTGTTTATTTCCATCTTTCCGTAAATTACGAGTTTGCCAAGTCTAACCACGGCAATATCTGTCTTCATATAAAAATAATAGAAAATAAATGATACTCTCCCTCCTCAGGAGATCTGTGCTATCTCATGTTCGCAAGTATCAATTGTGAGAAAGGTACTGATAAAGTCTCTTTTACAAGAAACCAACTGGGAATCTGCGTGCTGCAAAATGAAATGCCTCGGGTCATCATGGGAACATTAGCGCAGGTGTCAGCCTTCTTCCCATCCTTGATCCCTTCTCTTAAACAAGGCTACCCAACTCCCACTGTAGGAAACCAAAGGCCTTTCTGAACTCTTTGACAGGCATGAAAATCCAACTTCCGGTTTCCCTCTTCTCCCTCTACTCATAAAACCTGTTACTCAGCAAGTCCTTCTCCCTTCAAATGGCATCCCCATCCACTTGGCTGCGCAAAACGAAACGCTTCATCAATACTTCCTTGATTCTTCGCTTACCCTGGTACCCCATGTGCAATCCATTAGAAAGTCCTGTTGGTTAAAACTTGAAAAGTTCTTCTCTCCTCCATTGTCACCACTGCAGACCAAGGCATTCCCGTATCTGCCTGGACAGGTCCAACAGCAAAAAATGCCCTGACTCTTACCATCTCCTCTTCCACCCTCCCCCTGTCCATTCTGGTCATGGTGACCAAAGCAATTTTTAAAAAGAACATCAGCTTTGTCATCCTTGTGCTTGGAATGCAATAGCTCCTCCCGAACTTAAGCACAAAGGTCTTGCCTTAGTCAGTAAGCACAACCTAACTATTGACTAAACTGTTCGGTGCCCCTTTGGTACCAAGTCCCTTTATTTCCCTGTTCCCTTCTCTCCCAGCTACAGTGACACTGGCCATTTTCACCTTTATAACCCCACCACGCCAAGATCACTGTATAACAAAGTCTTTTTGTACCCACTTCTCCCTCTGCTTGGAGAACTCTCTCTAGCTCTTCACAAAGTCGACGTGATGTTATTTAGGTCTCTGGAGTCTTTTCAGAACATGCCACTTATTAATGTCACTTTCCCACCTCCTCTTAGAGTTACTCTTTGATTCCACGATTCCATTCCCAGTTTTATTTTCTGCACTTCCATTAATGCTTTGTGGATTTAGATACTTTCTTTCTTTGCTTGCCAATGATTGTCTTTTATAACCATTCTCCCTCATTTAAATTAACAGTAAAACAGGCGAGACTGCTGTCCAACATGAATCTCCAGCATCTAAAATGATGTTGGGCGAAATAAGCATTCCATAAATATTTGCTTCTTTTTTCTCTAAAGAAACTAATGGAATATAGAGTTTTTTTTTTTACTAAGGAACTAATTTTATTTTGGCTATGATTATGTCTCCTTCCAATCTCCAAGGACCTGCTTAAATCTATAGGCTATATATTAAATAAGAATCCTCTTAGAGATGACTGTCATCCCAGTTGCTTAGTTGAAATCTACTTTCTTTATGGAGGCATTTATTGCTGTAAACTTTCGGATTATCACTGCTTTTGTTGTATCCCACAGACTCTGGTATGCCCTGTTTCCATTTTCATTTAGATCAACAATTTTTTTTAATTGCATTTTAGGTTTTGGGGTAGATGTGAAGAACATATAAGATTGTTGCATAGGTACACACATGGCAGTGTGGTTTGCTGCCTTCCTCCCCATCATCTACATCTGGCATTCCTCCCCATGTTATCCTTCCCCAACTCCCCACCCTGTGCCCTGTTCCTCAACTAGCTCCCCCCCCCACAGACCCCGCCGTGTGAGGCTCCCCTCTGTGTCCATGTGTTCTCATTATTCAACACCCCCCTATGAGTGAGAACGTGCAGTGTTTGATTTTCTGTCCTTGTGTCAGTTTGCTGAGAATGATGGTTTCCAGGTTCATCCATGTCCCTACAAAGGACACGAACTCATCATTTTTTATGTCTGCATAGTATTCCATGATGTATATGTGCCACATTTTCCCTGTTCAATCTATCATCGATGGGTACGTGGGTTGGTTCCAAGTCTTTGCTACTATAAACAGTACTGCAACGAACATTTGTATGCATGTGTCCTTACAATAGAACGATTTACAATCCTTTGGATATATACCCAATAATGGGATTGCTGGG